GAGCTGTGCTTTTCTCGAACCTGTTGTCTTTAAAGTGCTTTCCTCTCAATCTTAAATAAGCATGCCCCATTCAAAAAATTCAGAACTAAGAACAGATATAGCCCCTGGATCTCCTCAGACTTGACTGCCCTTGACCAGCGCGATATGCAACTTTTTAGGGAAGTCAGGAACCAATATACACAATCAGTTAGGAAAGCAAAGGCTAGCTTTTTCAAACAGACATTTGCATCCTGTAGCACTAACTCCAAAAAGTTTTGGGACACTGTAAAGTCCATGGAAAATAAGAGCACCTCCTCCCAACTGCCCACTGCACTGAGGCTAGGAAACACTGTCACCACCGATAAATCTACGAGATTTTCAACAAGCATTTTGCTACGGCTGGCCATGCTTTCCACCTGGCTACCACTACCCCGCGTCTTATCTTAGCTCACTGGTCACCATAGCAACACCCACCCGTAGTCTGCGCTCCAGCAGATATATCTCACTGGTCATCCCCAAAGACAACACCTCCTTTGGCCGCCATTCCTTCCAGTTCTCTGCTGCCAATGACTGGAACGAACTGCAAAAATCTCTGAAGCTGGAGACTCTTATCTCCCTCACTAACTTTAAGCGTCAGTTGTCAGAGCAGCTTACCGATCACTGCACCTGTACACAGCCTTTCTGAAATTAGCCCACCCAACTACCTCATCCCCATATTGTTATTTATTTTGCTAATTTGCACCCCAGTATCTCTATTTGCACATCATCTTTTGCACATCTATCATTCCAGTGTTAATACGAAATTGTAACTATTTTGCACTATGGCCTATTTATTGCCTTACCTCCATAACTTACTACATTCGCACACACTGTATATATATTTTCTGTTGTATTTTTTACTTTATGTTTTGTTTTCCCCATATGTAACTCTGTGTTGTTGTTTTTATCGCACTGCTTTGCTTTATCTTGGCCAGGTCGCAGTTGTAAATGAGAACTTGTTCTCAACTGGCTTACCTGGTTAAATAAAGTGAAAATAATAATAATAATAATAATGCTGGCATCGAATGTGTAATGGTAAATATAACTACATATTTCGATATCAAACGAGTCCGCACTTGCTGATTTTGCTCTTCAAGTCCTCACTGTCAGCCCTAGCTATGGAAACACAATATCCCTAGTATAACATAAGGGTGTATACACTAGTGTAACAGTGGTGTTAGTCGAAAATCAGTATTAGTGTTTGTCTCTGACCTGTTTTGGATAATGATGTAGGGCATGGTGTCATTGGGGTTGTCTGAGGGTGTGGCCTTGATCTCAATGTAGACCATCTCCTTCAGATCCACCTGGAACCACAGAGAGGGATGACGTTGTTTGTAGACGGGTTTACATTCTCCCAAACCCCTAAAGGTCAAGGTTAGGATTTGGGGAAGGGAAGCTGTCTTTGTCACTGCCAACTATCTAGCCTGTACAATAGCCAGCTCCTCTTTAGGAGCAATTAGTAGTATTCATTCAATATAGACATTTACATTTACATTTTAGTCTCTTATCCAGAGCGACTTACAGTTAGTGAATACATATTTTTTTTTAATACTGGCCCCCCGTGGGAATCGAACCCACAACCCTGGCGTTGCAAACGCCATGCTCTATCAACTGAGCTACATCCCTGCCGGCCATTCCCTCCCCTAACCTGGACGACGCTGGGCCAATTGTGCGCCGCCCATGAGTCTCCCGGTCGCGGCCGGCTGCGACAGAGCCTGGATTCGAACCAGGATCTCTAGTGGCACAGTTAGCACTGTGATGCAGTGCCTTAGACCACTGTGCCACTCAGGAGTACAATATAGCTAACATCATAAACATCAAAATTACAACAACAAACAACGTGCAATGTATTTTTCAATGAAGCTGCATCATTTGCATTATTCAAAACATGTTAGCCCACTGTGCTAAAAACCAGGCATGGCTCTGAATGTTCTGAACTTCAGGTTTCAGGCCAGGTAACTTATTATCTCCGCTACATATACACCTCCACTGGTTAACTGGCTGGATCCACCATGCTGTTGAAACGACTGATGTAGAAGTACTCAAACTGGTAGGTGAACTTCCCAAAGACTTCTCTCTGAAAATATACGTAATCTTGCAGGCCAGGAATTCCAGGCTCACATTGCCTTTCTTGGGGTAGATGCAGCAGAACTCAATCTCCACTTGGTGCCTCCTGGTGATTACAGCACTGGAGTCGTCAAAGGACGTGATCTTGTTTCTGAAGATCAAGTTGTCCCCTTCCTCCTGAAAACCACATTTGAAGAGGTTGAGTTAGATATTTTCTTTGCTAATAATGAATCTCAGGGCAGTAGTTCTGATGAGCTACACAGTGTACAGTCTTTCTGTTATTTCAAACAACTAAAAAATAAAATAAAACTGCACACCGTGTAGCTCTCCAGGACCAAAGTTGGTGATCAGTGACATACTGTAAAGGGCAACGATCTGGTTCAAATAGTTCATACTTTAAATAATTGGAGGTTCACTTGATTTAGCTTGGAGTTGGCATTTCGGGAACTGATCTAATGGTTCTGAATCCATTTTTACCACAAACTACATAAATCAAGCACTGTTCAAGTTGTATTTTTTATTTTAACAACAAAACACTTTTTTTTTTTTTTTTTTTCATTTTAGTCTTAATAAGTGACAAACAACAAATAAATAAAGATAACTTTATCCAATTACTCAACAATATGAAAGGAGGTCTAATTAAATTGAATAATCTTCCCATAAACCTCTTCAAAATGGCTCCCAAAGTTTTATATTTATTCTCGGTAATACCAGTTACCCAACCAAAGACATTCTTTTAAAAAAGTATACTCGGTCAAAACTGACTTTTTATGGGCAAATAAAACTCATAGAATAAAAAGGAAAGTTTTACATCTTCCTAAGTCTGAGGGTGGTTTTAACCTTCCAGACTTGGAATTGTATCAACTCACATTTACATTACATTTACATTTTAGTCATTTAGCAGACGCTCTTATCCAGAGCGACTTACAGGAGCAATTAGGGTTAAGTGCCTTGCTCAAGGGCACATTAACGTCATTTAGCAGACGCTCTTAGCCAGAGCGACTCGCAACTTGGTGCGTTCACCCTATAGCCAGTGGGATAACCACTTTACAATTTGGGGGGGGGGGGGAGGGGTTAGAAGGAACACTTTATCCTATCCCAGGTATTCCTTAAAGAGGTGGGGTTTCAAATGTCTCCGGAAGGTGGAGAGTGACACGCTGTCCTGGCGTCGTGAGGGAGCTTGTTCCACCATTGGGGTGCCAGAGCAGCGAACAGTTTTGACTGGGCTGAGCGGGAGCTATGCTTCCGCAGAGGAAGGGGAGCCAGCAGGCCAGAGGTGGATGAACGCAATGCCCTCGTTTGGGTGTAGGGACTGATCACCACCCAGGGCTTTTACTTGCGACATATACAGTGCCTTCAGAAAGTATTCAGACCCCTTGACTTTTTCCACATTTTGTTAGGTTACAGCCTTATTCTAAAATTGATTTAATTGTTTGTTTTTTCCCCCTCATCAATCAGCACACAATACCCCATAATGACAAAGCAAAAACAGGTTTTTATAAATGTTTGTTAAATTATAAAAAATTTAAAACGGAAATATCACATTGACATAAGTATTCAGACCGTTTACTCAGCACTTTGTTGAAGCACCTTTAGCAGTGATTACAGCCACGAGTCTTCTTGGGTATGACGCTACAAGCTTGTCACACCTGTATTTGGGGAGTTTCTCCCATTCTTCTCTGCAGCTCCTCTCAAGCTCTGTCAGGTTGGATGGGGAGCATTGCTGCACAGCTATTTTCAGGTCTCACCAGAGATGTTCGATCGGGTTCATGTCCAGGCTCTGGCTGGGCCACTCAAGGACATTCAGAGACTTGTCCCGAAGCCACTCCTGCATTGTCCTGGCTGTGTGCTTAGGGTCATTGTCCTGTTGGAAGGTGATCCTTACAATAGCCCCAGTCTGAGGTCCTGAGCGCTCTGGAGCAGGTTTTCATCAAGGATCTCTCTGTATTTTGCTCCGTTCATCTTTCCCTCGATCCTGACTAGTCTCCCTCCCGCTGAAAAACATCCCCACAGCATGATGCTGCCACCACCGTGCTTAACCATAGGGATGGTGCCAGATTTCCTCCAGACGTGACACTTGGCATTCAGGCAAGAGAGTTCAATCTTGGTTTCATCAGACCACAGAATCTTGTTTCTCATGGTCTGAGAGTCTTTAGGTGCCTTTTGGCAAACTCCAAGCGGGCTTTCATGTGTCTTTTACTAAGGAGTGGCTTCCGTCTAGCCACACCATAAAGGCCTGATTGGTGGAGTGCTGCAGAGATGGTTGTCCTTCTGGAAGGTTCTGCCATCTCCACAGAGGAACTCTAAAGCTCTGTCAGAGTGACCATCGGGTTCTTGGTCACCTCCCTGACCAAGGCCAGCTCTAGGAAGAGTCTTGGTGGTTCCAAACTTCTTCCATTTAAGAATGTTGTTAGGGACCTTCAATGCTGCAGAATTGTTTTGGTACCCTTCCCCAGATCTGTGCCTCGACACAATCCTGTCTCAGAACTCTACGGACAATTCCTTCGACCTCATGGCTTGGTTTTTGCTTTGACATGCACTGTCAACTGTGGGACCTTATTTAGACAGGTGTGTGCCTTTCCAAATCATGTCCAATCAATTGAATTTACCACAGGTGGACTCCAATCAAGTTGTAGAAACATCTCAAGGATGATCAATGGAAACAGGATGCACCTGAGCTCAATTTCGAATCTCATAGCAAAGGGTCTGAATACTTATGTAAATAAGGTATTTCTGTATTTAATAAAAAAACTTTTCGCTTTGTCATTATGGGGTATTGTGTGTAGATTGCTGAGGATTTGTATTTATTTAATCCATTTTAGAATAAGGCTGTAACATAACAAAATGTGGAAAAAGGCAAGGGGTCTGAATACTTTCCGAAGGCACTGTTCAAACAAAAATGTAAACGCAACATGCAACAAATTCAAAGATTTTACTGAGTTACAGCTCATATAAGGAAATCAGTCAATTGGAATAAATGCATTAAACCCTAATCTATGGATTTCACATGACTGGTCACAGATACCGTTAAAAAAAATAGGGGCGTGGATCAGAAAACGGGTCAGTATCTGGTGTGACCCATTGGCCACATCTCTTTCGCATAGAGTTGATCAGGCTGTTGATTGTGGGCTGTGGAATGTTGTCCCACTCCTCTTCAATGGATGTGCGAAGTTGCTGGATATTGGCGGGAACTGGAACACACTGTCGTATACGTCGATCCACAGCATCCCAAACATGCACAATGGGTGACATGTCTAGTGAGTATGCAGGGCATGGAAGAACTGGGACATTTTCAGCTTCCAGGAATTGTCTACAGATCCTTGCGACATGGGGCTGTGCATTATTATGCTGAAACATGAGGTGATGGCGGCGGATGAATGGCATGACAATGGGCCTCAGGAGTTCGTCACGGTATATCTGTGCATTGAAATTGCATCGATAAAATGTAATTGTGTTCGTTGTCCGTAGCTTATGTCTGCCCATCACATAGGGGCATTCTGGGGGCACTCTGTTCACAACGTTGACATCAGCAAACCGCTCACCTACACGACGCCATACATGCTGTCAGCCATCTGCCCAGTACTGTTGAAACCGGGATTCATCCGTGAAGAGCACACTTCTCCAGCGTGCCAGTGGCCATCGAAGGTGAGCGTTTGCCCACTGAAGTCGGTTACGACGCCGAACTGCAGTAAATCAAGACCCTGGTGAGGACGACGAGCATGCAGATGAGCTTCACTAAGGCGGTTTCTGACAGTTTGCGCAGAAATTCTGCGGTTGTGCAAAACCACAGTTTCATCAGCTGTCCGGGTGGCTGGTCTCAGACGATCCGGCAGGTGAAGAATCCGGATGTGTAGGTCCTGGGCTGGCGTGGTTTCTCATGGTCTGCGGTTGTGAGGCCAGTTGGACATACTGCCAAATTCTCTAAAACGACGTTGGAGGCAGCTTATGGTAGAGAAATGATCATTCAATTCTCTGGCAACAGCTCTGGTGGACATTCCTACAGGCAGCATGCCAATTGCATGCTCCCTAAAAACTTGAGACATCTGTGGCATTGTGTTGTGTGACAAAACTGCACATTTTAGAGTGGCCTTTTCTTGTCCACAGCACAAGGTGCACATGTGTAATGATCATGCTGATGATGGATGGATTATCTTGGCAAAGGAGAAACGCTCACTAACAGGGATGTAAACAAATTTGTGCGAACATTTTGAGAGAAATAAGCTTTTTGTGCGTATGGAACATTTCAGGGATCTTTTATTTCAACTCATAAGACATGGGACCAACACTTTACATGTTGTATTTATATTTTTGCTCAGTGTACATTTCTCCCTGCAAATCATACATGTAATATTTCTACCTCAATCACATATCAGTAGTAATGAAGGAATACAAATCCACTAGAGAAAAACTGTCTGGTAGATCTCCCAGTTTTATGATTAGTTTGCGTTCACGAGGTTGACAACATTAGCAAAACATTCACATTACAACTCTTCCTCAAGTCTTGCAACAGTTGTTTCACAACAGATTTTGTGAATTAAATATTTGTTATATTTCCTTTAACATCCTGTGTTGTGTGCTTAGTCTTTTACCATTGATACTATATGTTCTAGGCAATTTGGGACCTTAAGGGAAAGATTCACCCATTTTGAATGCTATATCGTTTTTGTGCATCTCTGAGCGACGAGCTATCGATTCCCAGGGTCATTTAATGTTTACATGTTTATCTGATCTATTCGCAGTTCAAGCAGGCAGAAATACAAAACTCGGCGGTATTTCTGCCTGCTTGAACGGCAATAGCTCAGATAAACATGAAATGACCTGGGAGATGCACAAAAACAGTATAACATTCAAAATTATTTAATATTTTCTTTAAGGAGCATCAGGTACTGCTGGAATGTCTATCAATGGCATGTCCATCTTTTTGTGAGAAATTACACTAGTCACTCAAAACAGTATTTATAAAGTATAAATAGCCCACACTTTAGATGAGGCCACACAAAAAGACAAATGATTACTAATGATTAAATGATTATTATGAATGGAGTAATGACTAATAAATGAATAAACCATTTACTAATCTATTATAAATGCTTTATTACGTGGAGTTATTATAAAGTGTAGGTAGACAAGTTTCTCAACGGTCGGAAATGTAAATTTACATTGATTTAGAACCTTTTACACTCTTCCTCTTTCTTAGTCAATATGTCACTATGGCAGCCGCCATAGACAGGTTAGTTGTTTAGCAACAAAACCAACGTGTGTGCAAATATGTGGCAAAACAGACAGGGTTGGCTTAGATTGTTGACAACATATAAACTATATTTAGTCTCCAATGTTTATTGAAAACATAAATAAAGTTGCACAATGAGCACTTGTCTCTCAAATACATCGTTACAGTTGTTGGTTAGCCAGCAAGCAAATTTTTGTCATATTAGCATAGACGTGACATCAGTCAAAACACCTCAAAACAAGACATGATATCAAGATCAAGATAAAACTAGCTGAAATGAGCCACTTACGATTCCCCACATGGCAGTTTCTTTTCATTGTTGCTAGCTATCTGGCCATCCAGAATCACAACAAAACACAGCCTTCTGCCACATTGTAGCATGCACATCATTTTTGTGACGTTCTCAGCTAACCCGTCTATATCTCTGCACAGCACTGGAATCAATTATTATATTTCTATGACTGGAATAAGGAGTTTTCAGAGATAACCTGGGGTGTTCTCTTCTATACTGAACAAAAATGTAAATGCAACATGCATCAATTCCAAAGATTTTACTGAGTTACAGTTCATATAAGGAAATCAGTCAATTGAAAGTAATTCATTAGGCCCTAATCTATGGATTTCATATGACTGGGCAGGGGTGCCCACTGGGGAGCCAGGTCCAGCTAATCAGAATGAGTTTTTCCACACAAAAGGGCTTTATTGCAGACAGAAGTACTCCTCAGTACAAGGTGCACCTGTGTAATGATCATGCTGTTTAATCAGCTTCTTGATATGCCACACCTGTCAGGTGGATGGATTATCTTGGCAAAGGAGAAATGCTTACTAACAGGCATGTAAACAAATTTGTGCACAAAATTTGAGAGAAATACACTTTTGTGCATATAGAACATTTCTGGGATTTTTTATTTCAGCTCATGAAACATGGGACCAACACTTCACATGTTGCGTTTATATTTTTGTTCAGTGTATAACAGAATCCCAGACCTCCAACCGCACTTCAAGTCCTCAGACCTTCTGATCGTTCACATAGAAGAGTCATATTAATTGGTTGTCAAATCTAGTCGAGTGGCTCGGCCAAGGCATCATGTAACGCACCCTCTTCCAGAAGCTTGAGTTGGGCAGCATCGACCCCCGCCTTCCCTCCTGCCACATTAAGGGGGCACTCTTGCGGACTAGGTGCTGCAGGCCGGGGGGAAGGTGTGTGTAGCCCCCCTCCCCCATGGCCCCCAGCTGGATGAGGATGACACTCATCTCACTGTGGACCAGAGCCTGGTGGAGCCCCACCTGAAAGTCATAGTCCTCCACTGGGGTCAACGAGGACGAGTAGCCCCTCTGGCCCCATGACCCTTGACCTCCTGAGCCTGACCCTGAGCTTGAGCTGGGGGTCAGGATGACAATCAGCCTCCTGCTCAGCCGCATGCAGGCCTCCACCAACTCCATGCGGTCTGGGGACAATAGAACAGAGATGAGCGGGAGAAGTTAACATTTTACTTTAGTACTGTTTATTACTGTTACATTTGCTTCTTAGAGGGCAGGACACAGTCTGAAATAACCAACCTTCTCCAGGTATGTCGTCTCTGCCGTGGATGAAGAGTCTAAAGCCACACTTCTGCTCCAAGACAGTGGGCAGAATGTTGCTCACAAAGTGAAACACTTTCTCCTCCATGTCTTTGTCTACACCATCCATCTGGCAGACAACATAAGCATCATAGACCTTCCCATCTGAAAATACAGACAAAGAGGAAGTTTCTGTCAAACCTCAGCATGAAGGAGTAGATTGTAGAGATTTGATTCAATTCTATTTGAACTGAAATTGAGTTATTTTATTATAAATGGCCCATTACTTCTACACTAGTGGTGAGATTGACTCCAAGCCGGAACTTGTTGAGAAGAGAAGACTAGACCTACCTCAGACTACTGCACTGCACAATCAGTGGGCCGATCGAGACATTTACTGTACAGTACAAGGTTAGAGTGCTCCTGTGTGGTGACTAAAGCTAAATGTAGTAATATGTTTATATGGTACCCAATACTATACAGATAATGTAGGCTGAATAAGCATTTCTGTACAATGAAATATCTAAGTAAAATAGCATCAATAAACTTCAGTCTGTGGCTAGATGTTCTTACCCTCAGATCGACCATAGCATTTGAAAACTCCACGGAAGAGGAGAGCCAGATCGATGTCAAACACTTTGACGGCCACAGCAGCCCACAAGAGGAAGAGCAGCAGCGCCACACATAGACCCATAAACATAAACCCTGTTGGAGGAAGACAGGGAGGACACAACACCAAGAAAGTTACAGAGTGGGATCCTGGGACTAAACACCTCCCTCTGCAACTGGATCCTGGACTTCCTGACGGGCCGCCCCCAGGTGGTAAGGGTAGGTAACAACACATCTGCCACACTGATCCTCAACACGGGGGCCCCTCAGGGGTGCGTGCTCAGTCCCCTCCTGTACTCTCTGTTCACCCATGACTGCATGGCAAGGCACGACTCCAACACCATCATTAAGTTTGCCGACGACACAACAGTGGTAGGCCTGATCACCGACAACGATGAGACAGCCTATAGGGAGGAGGTCAGAGATCTGGCCGTGTGGTGCCAGGACAACAACCTCTCCCTCAACGTGACCAAGACAAAGGAGATGATTGTGGACTACAGGAAAAAAAAGAGGACTGAGCACGCCCCCATTCTCATCGACGGGGCTGTAGTGGAACAGGTTGAGAGCTTCAAGTTCCTTGGTGTCCACATCACCAACGAACTATCATGGTCCAAACACACCAAGACAGTCGTGAAGAGGGCACGACAAAGCCTATTCCCCCTCAGGAGACTAAAAAGATTTGGCATGGGTCCTCAGATCCTCAAAAAATTCTACAGCTGCACCATCGAGAGCATCCTGACTGGTTGCATCACCGCCTGGTATGGCAACTGCTTGGCCTCTGACCGCAAGGCACTACAGAGGGTAGTGCGTACGGCCCAGTACATCACTGGGGCAAAGCTCCCTGCCATCCAGGACCTCTATACCAGGCGGTGTCAGAGGAAGGCCCTCAAAATTGTCAAAGACTCGAGCCACCCTAGTCATAGACTGTTCTCTCTGCTACCGCACGGCAAGCGGTACCGGAGTGCCAAGTCTAGGTCCAAAAGACTTCTCAACAGCTTCTACCCCCAAGCCATAAGACTCCTGAACAGCTAATCATGGCTACCCGGACTATTTGCACTGCCCCCCCACCCCATCCTTTTTACGCTGCTGCTACTCTGTTAAGTATTTATGCATAGTCACTTTAATGTACATATTACCTCAACTACCTCAACTAGCCGGTGCCCCCGCACATTGACTCTGCAACGGTACCCCCCTGTATATATAGTCTCCGTACTGTCACTTTATTTTACTGTATATATAGCCTCCCTACTGTCACTTTATTTTACTTCTGCTCTTTTTTTCTCAACACTTTTTTTGTTGTTGTTTTATTCTTACTTTTTTTGTTTAAAATAAATGCACTGTTGGTTAAGGGCTGTAAGTAAGCATTTCACTGTAATGTCTGCACCTGTTGTATTCGGCGCATGTGACCAATAAAATTTGATTTGATTTGATTTGATGTGTGATTTTGTGTGTCTTGTGGATGTGTGTTTGTGTGATGTTTGTGTAAGTGTGTGTGCATGTGTGTGTTTCCACTAACCTCTCGGTTTGAGAGTCACTCCTGCAGATATCCATTGCTGGTCGTTCATGGCCACGCACTTGAACTCTGACTGGAGGTCCTTGATAGTCACTGTGTCTATGGTCAGGATAGCCGTGAAGATACTCCGCATTGAAGATACCTCCATCTCGCTACATTAACACATATACACAAAACATTCACACAGGGAATTCTCAACGGTGAATCTGGGGTCTTGTTTCAAGGAAATGTGTAAATTCTGTTACCTTGTTCTCAAAAACAAGTGTGTGTGTTCTTGCGTGCATTCATGTGTGCATGCGGGCATATATGGACCTACCTGGTGGTGATCACTGAGTAGCCTTGTTGCTGCGAGCCCACTTTCACTCCGTTCATCTCCCACCACATGTGACAGTTGTCTTCAATGTTCTGCCCACAAAACGCTTCACACCTCAACTTCTTAGTGGTGTCTATGAAAAACAAAAGATACTATAAAGACAGAGAGATATACCGGGCAAACCAAATCAAGCACAACACAAGTATTTGAGCCAGGTGTGATCCCTACACAGGTCAGTGGTCTCTGTGCTTCCGTCTCTAGGCAGGTTGATCTGAGGAGGATGCGAGGCAGAGGGAGCTGAAGGAGACAAACACACAGTTTAGTCAGAAAGATACTTTTGGATACATTCAAAAAGTTGTTATTGATGTTATTGATGATTGTTGCTGCCACAAAGTTCACACGTGATATGAAGGTTGCTTTTGATGTTGCTTTTGATCCTGTTTGTTTAATATAAAATGGAGCTTAATGTACTTAGTGTAGCCTAATAACCTACTGTAATGTAGCCTAGAGTTTCCATGTTTACTGACCCTTCTGCCATCTTGGATGAGCTTTCAGTAAAGATCAAATCTAATAAATAAAATGCTGAGCGGATTGATAGAGCTGTCATCAAGCAATGACCTACTTACCTTGGATCTTTAGTCTCCTGGATGCAGAAGTGTTGAGAACCCTCCCGTTGTGCTCCCACGTGCACACACATGTATAGATGCCCTTGTCTGCTTTGGAGGCGTCGTCCACCCACAGAAGACTCTTACGCTCATTCGGAATGAGACCGAGATTCTGAAATTAAAGACAAGAAAGCTGACAAACGTTTTAGCTGAACTAGCAGTAAGACACCTGATTCCACTAATCAAGAGCTTGATGATGAGTTGGGTGTTAGTGCTGGGCTAGAACAAAAACCGGGCTAAAACAAAAACTGGGCTAGAACAAAAATTCCTAGGACAGGAGTTGAGAACCAATGATATATAGTCTTGCAGGGTTGAGGTTTGTGTTAGCATTCTGGTCATGTTCAGTACCTTATACCAGGCTAAGTTTCCTTTTCCATCCTGGCACAGTTGTTCCACGGGGTCAGGACATGGTATATAGATGTTGTCTACTGACTCTGAGATATCGCTGAACAGGACTGAGTGATTGAACGGTTGGGCTTTGACCACAATCACCACTGTCACATAAATGTGGCAGGTGTCTGCTGCCTTTCTCCTGGAAAATGTAAACATATACAGTGTACCAGCTATCAGAAACACACAACCCTAGCCTCAATCCCAACCCTAAATGTAACCCTAGCCCTAGGCTGATGAATCAGACTGTGATACCAGCTTCTGGTACACTCTTAGAAAAAAGGGTTCCAAAACGTTTCTTTGGTTGTCCCCATAGGTGAACACTTTTTGGTTCCAGGTAGAACCCTTTCTGGTTTCATGTAGAACCTTCTGTGGTAAGGGTTCTACATGGAACCCAAAAGGGTTATACTTGGAACCAAAAAGGTTTCTTCAAAGGGTTCTCCCATGGAGACAGCTGAAGAACCCTTTTAGGCTATAGATAGCACCCTTTTTTCTAAAAGTGTATACAGCCTGAAACTAAGCAGTTTAAAAAAGTGGAATGTTTTCTTACAAGCCAGAATGTTGAATAAAATTGCATTACATTGGTTGGTCCATCAGTGGGTAGAATTTTTTGACAAAATATCCACAGGAAATATTATTTACCCGACTTTTTAGAACGCCGGTACTGCCGTTGAAATGTCTATCACCTGGGACATGCTCAAAACCATGTAAACACCTGCAGTGTACATGTATCGGCTTGCATGTCCTTCCGTCTTGTGCTTGGCCTTAGGTGAGGAGCAAATACATCTTGATTGTCACACACAGAGTCCCGCATTTTGAAGTAAGATAATAATACTTTTCGCTGGATATTTTTTTCTAATTTCGACCAACTGACAATCGGTAGAGTAAGTTCAAAAATAATTGTATTCAATGTTCGTGCAAGACAAGGGACGTTTAGGTTTTTCTTTGAAAATGTGCGCACCTACCCTAGCCCTAGTTTCATGTACACATCCAGGTTCAACCCTAACCCTAGACTCAACCTTCACCCTAACCTCCCCAAATAGGGCTCCCCCACCTCTGAATTACCAATTTTTTCCCCTAAACACACACACACACATATATCAACACACACACATACACACACACACACACACACTGTTGTTGTATTACCAGTAGGTGTAGTACTCATCAGAGTCATTGATTAACAGGGGGAGGAAGAAGAGCACTGGTCCATGATGATGCACACGCCCTTCCTCAGAGGACGGGAGCTCCTGGGTTCCGTTTCTGTAACAGGTGAACTCAGTCACGCTGGTCCAATTCAACTCATGCAGGTCATGGTGGGCTGGCAAACTAAGGGCCTCCCCCTCTGTTACATATGTGGTTTTGGACCCCTCAAATCGTTTACATTGGGAATCTGGCCAAATATGAACATACACCTTATGAAAATACACCTTATGGAACAGCGGGGACTGTGAAGCAACACAAACACAGGCATAGACACGTGAATACACACACATAGTAACATACGCACTATACACACACGTACTGTGAGATAAAAATTAAGTATTTACCTGATTTGTTTGACATTAGCAATTATATACTTAACAAAGAGTAAGACATTTCTGTTCTACTAATGCTGTGTTTTTGTAAAGGGATGGTCTCCACTCTAGCTCCCTGCAGCTAATCTGGGCGTACGGTCACTAGAGATACCTTGAGCTGACAATTGACTGAGCCTGCATTCCATAGACAAGATGTGGTGTGTGTAACCGAGATAAGGATAGCCTGGAGGAGTAGAATCCTAATTGTTCCTAATCATCCTGGCATCTGGGAAACTAAGCCAGGCCGGGGGTTTAAACAACACCAGGTGCAGATAACCATAGGGTGAACCCAAGGTGGCTTATGATGCCACCCGATCTGCATGGGAGGGGTGGAACCAGCCATGACTAACCATTTTAGTGTCAGCTATATAAGAACCAGGATTCCTCTGTAAGGTCAAGCTCTCTGCAACACACACTTCGGAGTGTGTGGTCGACCAGCTTCATTATTGCAATAATGAAGTCGATATTAAATAACGATAATTTTTTGAATGGTTGTCCAAGTCTCTCTCAGTATACATGAATTTCCACAACAATTTACGTGGATTTTGTGTTGTAGATACAGTACCAGTCAAAAGTTTGGACACACCTACTCATTCAAGGGTTTTTCTTTATTTTTTACTATTTTCTACATTGTAGAATAATAGTGAAGACATCAAAATTATGAAATACCAAAAAAGTGTTAAACAAATTACTCTTGGCATTCTCTCAACCAGCTTCACCTTGAATGCTTTTCCAACAGTCTTGAAGGAGTTCCCACATATGCTTAGCACTTGTTGGCTGCTTTTCCTTCACTCTGCCGTCCGACTCATCCCAAAACATCTCAATTGGGTTGAGGTCGGGGGATTGTGGAGGCCAGGTCATCTGATGCAGCACTCCATCACTCTCCTTCTTGGTCAAATAGCCCTTACACAGCCTGGAGGTGTGTTGGGTCATTGTCCTGTTGAAAAACAAATGATAATCCCACTAAGCCCAAACCAGATGGGATGGCATATCGCTGCAGAATGCTGTGGTAGCCATGCTGGTTAAGTGTGCCTTGAATTCCAAATAAATCACAGACAGTGTCACCAGCAAAGGACCCCCACACCATAACACCTCCTCCTCCATGCTTTACGGTGGGAACTACACATGCGGATATCATCCGTTCACCCACACCGCGTCTCACAATGACTACAGATGAAAGGACACATTTCCACCGGTCTAATGTCCATTGCTCGTGTTTCTTGGCCCAAGCAGGTCTGTTCTTCTTATTGGTGTCCTTTAGTAGTGGTTTATTTGCAGCAATTCAACCACTTTTTTGGTTACTACATGATTCCATATGTGTTATTTAATAGTTTTGATGTCTTCACTATTATTCTACAATGTAAAAAATAGTAAAAATAAAGAAAAACCCTTCAACGAGTAGGTGTGTCCAAACTTTTGACTGTTATTGTATGTGGCAGCAGCTAATTGGGATCCATAATAAATACAAATACAAATACAAAATACAAATATAAATACAGGTTTTTCCTGTGTAAATTATTGGAGGTAAGAATGACATACAGTCATCAGTGATCTAATCCTACAACCTCATGACACTGTTGTTTCTAAATAATAATGCTAATTATGCTGTGAGACCAAGGAGTCCGCTTACACTGTACTTTGATTATAAAGGTTTATTTATATCACAAGATTTCAGCGTAAGTTTACAGACATCTGCAGGCATCTGGAGAACAACAACCCAAAATAATATGTTGTTCTGTCCTCCTTTGTTTTAACCGTGGTATTTATATCCTATGCCCTATGTAACATAATATGGGTGTTTTCCCCTAGAGACCAATCCCATGACTCCACACAACAGACTTCCTCTGTTTTATGGGGTGCCCCTATAAAACTGCTCCCCAGATGCTTCCCTAAGCTGAATCAACATCCTCCAAGATACCATTTGCAAACGTTAGCAAAGTCATAAATTCCTTAGACACCACATATTCCCCCCTTCGAGACTAATTAAGTCTCGAAAACAAAAAGAATAGGATTATGACAAATAACAATTTCTCTTATTGAGTATCTTTAACAATAAACCAAAAACACATTTTTCTATGGAGTGTAAATACATTTCTATGAAGTATGAACAAATCTTTATGGAGTGTGAGAGCGAAAAACCTGTCTGGCAGGTTTCTTTCCAAATATCCATCAATCAATCAAGACAGTAAAATTCTCTCACGGCCCCTCTGCCCCAGGCAACCACCTAAGTACTCCAGATCAATTCATAAATCTTTATCAATGCATTTGAAACTATGATGCAATTTGACTACACATGAAAGCCTCAGCAAACAAAATACAATTAAAATGTCCACATTCAGGCTGGTCAACCCATCAGACCCTCCTGTGGATTCTCTCTATCCCTGCCTAGACCCAATATCCCTAAGCATCCACGAAATAAACAAAAACATCTGAGATCCCCACATGTACCCAATAACAGCAAATATAATTCTTCAAAAATTAATAAAGAAAGAATATGACACAAAATATGTATTACACATGCAAATATGTCTATATATCATTGCAGACACTGGAATGTAGTCCACTACACTTCATCTCCTCAGCAGTGTCGACTTCCAATGCAACGTCGATGATGGAATCTGAACATTTCCACATCTTCCTTGTTCCACTTCCTCCAGTCCATTCATATTGTCCATGTTTGAGTATTTGAATCCCCTCTACACATTCCCCCATATGCTTCTGGAAGAAAAGAAAAGACCAAACAGTATCTTTTGCAAAACAACACATTCAAATTAAAACATCAATATCAACTAAAAATGATATATAAAATGATATATAAAATGAATCACATACCATTTCCCCCCTTTGATTCATCACAAAATACTAAAATCACACTAACATTCAAAAACATTTGAAAAATGATCGGATATTCAAAATGGATATCTATCCAGCAATACTCCATCCAGTCCCACTTGTTCATCTTCATCTAGATCAGTAACAGTTAACAACGGCATCTGAGTGTTTTCTCCAGGCATCACAACTCCAACCCATCTCAATATCATAGCCTTCGCAAAAGTCAACAACAAAGTACAAAATCAAAACATCACACACAGCGCTATCAGAGCTGCTACTAAAATCTGAACTATCACTGCTCCCACTGGGCCTAACTGATCTTGCAACCAAGCCTTCGTTGACCATCCAGCTCCTTCAGATCTACCAAACGCATCCCTTATATTCTTCAATGCATCTATAACACTAGTGATATTATCGGAACTATCTGGGATCAAAGTATAACAATCATCCCCCGTCAAATTCATAGCCAAACATAAGCCACCTTGTTTTGCTAAAATATAGTCAAGAGCCATGTCATGTTTCAACAGCGTCAGTCTGTGACTTCTTTGAGTATTCGACAGAAGGTTAAACCCTCTTATCGTTTCATTTGCTAAACCCTGCAAAGTATAGGTAATATTATCAATGTGATCTACCAAAAATGTTACACCATACCATGGAAAAAGTCCCAGTCCCCACTTCTCTCCTAGACTTACAGTGAGGGAAAAAAATATTTGATCCCCTGCTGATTTTGTAAGTTTGCCCACTGACAAATAAATGATCAGTCTATAATTTTAATGGTAGGTTTATTTGAACAGTTAGAGACAGAATAACAACAAAAAAATCCAGAAAAACGCATGTCAAAAATTTTATAAATTAATTGGCATTTTAATGAGGGAAATAAGTATTTGACCCCCTCTCAATCAGAAAGATTTCTGGCTCCCAGGTGTCTTTAATACAAGTAACGAGCTGAGATTAGGAGCACACTCTTAAAGGGAGTGCACCTAATCTCAGTTTGTATAAAAGACACCTGTCCACAGAAGCAATCAATCAATCAGATTCCAAACTCTCCACCATGGCCAAGACCAAAGAGCTCTCCAAGGATGTCAGGGACAAGATTGTAGACCTACACAAGGCTGGAATGGGCTACAAGACCATCGCCAAGCAGCTTGGTGAGAAGGTGACAACAGTTGGTGCGATTATTCGCAAATGGAAGAAACACAAAATAACTGTCAATCTCCCTCGGCCTGGGGCTCCATGCAAGATCTCACCTCGTGGAGTTGCAATGATCATGAGAACGGTGAGGAATCAGCCCAGAACTACACGGGAGGATCTTGTCAATGATCTCAAGGCAGCTGGGACCATAGTCACCAAGAAAACAATTGGTAACACACTACGCCGTGAAGGACTGAAATCCTGCAGCACCTGCAAGGTCCCCCTGCTCAAGAAAGCACATATACAGGCCCATCTGAATGATTCAGAGGAGAACTGGGTGAAGGTGTTGTGGTCAGATGAGACCAAAATGGAGCTCTTTGGCATCAACTCAACTCGCCGTGTTTGGAGGAGGAGGATTGCTGCCTATGACCCCAAGAACACCATCCCCACCGTCAAACATGGATGTGGAAACATTATGCTTTGGGGGTGTTTTTCTGCTAAGGGGACAGGACAACTTCACCGCATCAAAGGGACGATGGACGGGGCCATAACCGTCAAATCTTGGGTGAGAACATCCTTCCCTCAGCCAGGGCATTGAAAATGGGTTGTGGATGGGTATTCCAGCATGACAATGACCCAAAACACACGGCCAAGGCAACAAAGGAGTGGCTCAAGAAGTAGCACATTAAGGTCCTGGAGTGGCCTAGCCGGTCTCTAGACCTTAATCCCATAGAAAATCTGTGGCAGGAGCTGAAGGTTCGAGTTGCCAAACGTCAGGCTCGAAACCTTAATGACTTGGAGTTGATCTGCAAAGACGAGTGGGACAAAATCCCTCCTGAGATGTGTGCAAACCTGGTGACCAACTAAAAGAAATGTCTGACCTCTGTGATTGCCAACAAGGGTTTTGCCACCAAGAACTAAGTCATGTTTTGCAAAGGGGTCAAATACTTATTTCCCTCATTAAAATGCAAATCAATTTATAACATTTTTGACATGCGTTTTTCAGGATTTTGTTGTTGTTATTCTGTCTCTCACTGTTCAAATAAACCTACCATTAAATTTATAGACTGATCATGTCTTTGTCA